AGGGGAAAGTAGGGCTGCTGGGGGAGGGGAACGGGGGACCGGAGGAAGAACCTCCTCCCACCCCTGTAACATTGCTGTTTAGAGTTACTTAAGTTTTATTTGTAAATAGACCCATACTTTTGCAGTACTGGTTTCTGTGCCGCTGGAGAGGGAGGCTACATAGTTCCAGATGATACCGACTACTCTTGAGTAGATAATAATGCAGAAGGTTATCACGAATTCCCTTGGCTAACCGGTCGTAAGCAATAGCTTGAAATAAGACTACAGGTTGCGGGTTTCACTGAGCTCTGGGACTAATGATTCCCGCTTTTCAGGTTCCTGGATTTTAAACTATTTTTGAATTAAAATTTGTAGATAAGTAGAGAGAGATGACAGACCTAATTTCAGTTCTTTCCTTTCAAATTGTTTGGTAAAATAATTTTTTTCTGGATTTTACTTTTTGTTACGGGGTACAGACGCGGTCATAGGCCTTAGTTTAAAATCCAGTCTCAAACCTTATTGCCTATATGCCAATAGTCTTCGATGCTGTCTTCCTTGCTCGAGTCAAGAAAGCCTTAGAAGGCTAATTCGTTGAGACTAGTCGCCTGAAGCATTTTTTTCTGCTGTACTGTATCATGATTTGTAGCCTGAAGACTAAATTCAAATAATCAAAAAAACTCAAAATCGAGCAGAACAGGAACTGAAAATTTTGAGATGTCCAAATAACTGAATGAGAAGGGTTAAAGGCCCATATGCGTGCGTTAATTATCTGGTGATTTGAACAGCTTTTGAAAGAATGAAAAATAACCAAATCCAAAGATTTGTTTGGAATAGAATGCGCTGTAACCCCCGAGCGCTTTCATTATCTTTTTTCACCTCTATGTGTCGCAAATTTGCTATTTTGCAAAACGTGGCAAATGACGTCGCAAAATTAAGTTAAAAATATATAATATGAAAAGCATCATTTTGCAGATTCTCGTTTTGAAATGTCGCGCAACGAATTCAGGGGGCGTGAACCGTTGGTTGGTCCAGAGTTGCCCAGCATCGACGACGTCCTGAACTCGATGCTGCCAATTTACCGCCAGGCGCTGCAGGATTTTTGCGATAGCCAGGTGGGCACTTGAGTCGAACGGTGTAACAGTATTCTGTCTGCTATTTTGAAGGCTTTCACAAACTGAGCAAGAGCGAAATCAGCTCAATAGAAACTATCAGACAAATAGGCAAATATCGTTGTTGCCAAAACAAAAG